ATATTGAATAATTTTATTTCTTGGAGTTATTCAACGTCAGGAAGTTTTCGCAGGCTTAGCGGTAAACGCGCGATGAGCAGACGGCCTGACGACGTGTAATCTTGGGAGATCGAAATTATGGTGAGGTTATGTTCTCCTTGTGCGTTTGACAGGTGTGTAACGCGTGGTGTCAAACGCGAGAAATCTACGAGAGGTATGCAAAGCGAAGAAAAAGCAAGGTGAATAGAATCTAATAATAATAAAATAATCGTATTTTTCATTAATTCATAATAGCTTTTATTTCTCTCTCTTCAGGTTCACTACGTCGGGTACTCTGGCGGTCGGAAGATTGACGGCGACGAAGCGAGAGGAGACGATGTGTGGGACATCGCGGTGACCGGAAGGTCCGGTGACTGGCTCCGTGATCGTCGTGTGACGCGAAGAATCAGGAACAGCGGTCCTGAAGGAGAGGAGACTGGCGGGGTAAGTGAAGAGACTTATTATCAAAGTATAAATTTAATCCGCAATAATATTGAAAATGGAACAGATAATCCGTTGATTTATTAATCTGTCTATTGAAAGAGCTAACAGTGCTGTCATTAACTATCTTTAGTAATTTGTTTATCTATTTATTGACGAATCGTGCAACTATTAATTCACTTTTGTTTTAGAGCGATGAGCGTTTCAGGTGAATATCTACGTCCGAACAATGCACTGAGAGAGATGTGCAGCGACCTGGTTCACTCCTGATGTCCTGAGCATCCTGAGGGAGGCGTCCCGGAAAGTGAAAGTCTCATACGTCCTGAGAGAGGCCCGCAAGGAATAAGATGGTACAGGCACCCTTGATCGGAAGGATAGTCAAGAGAATAATTTGTTGTACAATCAGATAAGTGTCTTTTAAATCTATTTCCTGAATCACATTAACTGATTATGCTACTAATTATATGAAGAACAGAGTAAAGGCTTGTAAAAACTTTCTGTTTCAGAATGGAGTAACTGCTGGGATATATGCGCCTGAGGGGCTGGGATACAAGGATAATGGATACTATGCATCGTGGGATAGAATAAATACACCATAAAATTTAAGGTAATCACTTTGCTTTAATTGCAATAACTGTAGCGAAGTATTAATGGTTTCTATTTTTGAGTCCCTTTTTATAATAACTTGTAATTCACGCGGTTTAAAATAAAGAAAAGTATAGAAGAATTTAATATGATAAAAGTCGAAGCGAGATATTTGCAAGAAAGTCGTTAAGTCAAAAGTTCGTAAATAATAGTGATCACTAATACCGAGGAAAGTAAGCAAAATAATCGAATAATTCTCTTATTTTTATTTCAGA